AAGGTGTAAATTCATTAATTACAATGGGTTGACTGAACTTGACCCATTAAAAAAGATATCACTTCAAGGTAGCAGAGATGATAGTTATGATCTATTGAAAAGAGATACCACCTAAATGTAACAGAGACCGCTAAAGTTAGAAATCACACTTGATCATTGAAGTGTTGTTTCAAACATTTATTATAAATTCTGTTAAATAATTGGCTCTTTTGCTTAATATAAACAAAAAAGATGATGCAATTTTTTGGAAAATACCCATCAGGTTGTTGAGCAACGAAACATGCATAGTGTTCCCTCGTCTGACATGGAAAAACTACTGAATAATACTTAACAGTACATAAACACCCATCAATCTCTCTAGTGTTAACAATAGTATATCATATAATGATATTTCTCGTAGTGTATTGTTACACTACTGGATGGTATGGATGAGATTGGTGTTATTTTTCATACCTAATGCAGGCATTAAAACAAATATATTAATGACATTCACAAGTAAGGCACTTGGCTAATAGTTTAGGTCTTTATATTGCAGAAATGACAAAAAAAATAATCAAGTCTGAATGCATTTGGATTGTAAGCAGTTTCATCTGGGCTCAAAATTAATTGCTTCCAAAAGTTTAGTAGCAATTGGCCATTCAAGGGATTTTTATAGCAAATAGCCTCAAAACATTTGTTTTTTTGTCAAATTTTCTAGGTTCAGTTGTGGATGCATTTTTTAATGGCATTTAAGTTTGTCAACCATATTTTTTCAATGTAGAGAAAATAAATCACTTCACCAAATGTTGGTCTTTTACTTAATTTGTTAGAACTATTTTAATTGAATTTATGTTGGTGTTACCTTATTTTCTATTTTTTAGCCATGTTGGTTGGTCAGAAATAAACTAATTGCTAGTTATACAAAGAAGACCACCCTAAAGATGACCCAAGCTAAGCTTGGTTCCAGTAAGTGCTTTAGAAGAGATGATTTTCAAACTGAATGTTGAACAATGAAAGGACAGGTGAGGAAAAATGTCTGGATAAATCATCAAAACAGGTCAGGGAAATTTTTTACACAGGTATGATCTGTTTATCTGCAGTTGCATGGATGTTCTTTGTGGCTCTTTCTTGAACAAAGGCTCCTTCTTTCCTTTCACAAAAGGAGTTGAGCAAAATGTTACAGACCGTTTTCTCAGACAAGGGTCTTATTGTTTGATTTTCATAGTTCCAACTTCTACTCTAAGCCTCTAGCTAAGGATAACTGTCTGTTCTTAGGTAAAACAAAATAGCTACTTTCCTTAAACTCAAACCTATAGTTGCATACTGTAACTCTGTCAATATCAATCTAGCTTAATGATCATTTGTCACTTTGAAGACTTCTACTTTACAGAGAGATACTAGACAACTTTTGTTACCTAGGATAGTGGCATCTTTTCAAATACTTTAAAAGTTATATGAACTAGACAGCATATACTTTTGGTGAGCATTTTATTCTATAGTAGTATTGAAAAAATACGTTTATTATGATGACTTAAATCTATAAATGTAGATTATCATTAGATTAAAAAGGGTATAACATGAATTCAGATTTATCTATTGTAATTGGGACATATTTTTATGTCGGCCCAGGATATTTTTCAGACAAAATGTTCATTGTAATCAAAAGTATGATCCTATGAGCACATTAAGTACAATTTTAATGGATATGAAATTTAATGGATATAAAAAAGTACAGTAATAGTAGCTAAGTGGATCAACATATTCATAAGACATTAATCTATATTGTAGATCACGAACTTGCATGGCTTCACCTGGCTGGTGACAAAATCCTGCTATTCCATCAGGGTGAGCAAACATAATCAATAAATCATAAAATCTTAGGTAATTCTTTGTAAGTCATAAAATTATCATATACTTACAATAAAAAAAGATATTACACACTTAATGAAATTAAAGGTAAATTTAATAAATCAGTTTTATGTTAATTTTTGCAGCTGAAGTCTGTTACAGTATTGGATAATCTACTAAGTGGATGATTTTGCAGGTGATGTTAAATTAAAATTTACTAAAATAGTCCAAAAACTGTTAAGAATTAGTTATTTCTAACACATGAACAGCTGAGTGTTTTTATATTACTGACAGTTACATAAAATACCACATAACATCAAAACATTCTTCTATAAATCGAATACTCACATTTTATGTTTTCAAGTAAAAATGACACAAAATATGAAACCCATGTTTTATCCTCAGCATGAGTTTGAAAATAGAAGGTATAATGTTAAATGGGATCATTTCGATAAAAAGAGGTGGATACAAAAGAATTCAAAAAGAAAATAATATATTTTGTAATTTGTTACCATACATATAGCAGTATGCAGGAGATTGAAGATAAAACTTTTAATATGTCAAAGAAATAAATCTGCATGTGAGGAATTTGAAAAAAGATATTGATACGTCTATCCAGGTGTTATTGGCTAATAAAATGCTCCGCTGGGCGCAGCTTGATACGACCACAGAGGTCAAACCCTGGACAGTTGGGGCAAGTATGGACACAATATTCAAGCTTGATACACACTGAATTTGGATTGTGATTAAATATTTGACACAGCATAGGTTTCTGACACAGAATGAATGTGGTCTAAGAACTTATAAGTGGTATGGTACCTTGCAGTACAATTTCAGAGAGATCCATACACTTGAACACAAGTTATTGTCTGGAAACTAGAAAAATGCTTGTTTTTTTGCCCCTTTTTTGCCCCAAATTCCTAAACGTTTAAGGCAATTACCCCCAAACTCAAACCTAGCTTTCCCGTTGTTATATGTAACCTTGTAGTACAAATTCATAAACATTCATACCCTTGCACACAAGTTATTGTCCTGAAACTAGAAAAATGCTTGTTTTTTGCCCCTAATTCCTAAAATTTTGAGGCAATTACCCCCAAAATCAATCCCAGCCTTTCCTTTGTGGTATGGTACCTTGCAGTACAATTTCAGAGAGATCCATACACTTGAACACATGTTATTGTCTGGAAACTAGAAAATGCTTATTTTTTGGCCCCTTATTCCTAAACGTTTTGGGCAATTACCCCCAAACTCAATTCCAGCTTTCCCTTTGTGATATGGAACCTTGTAGTACAATTTCAGAAAGATCCATACACTAACACACAAGTTATTGTCATGAAACTAGAAAAATGCTTGTTTTTTGCCCCTTTTTTGGCCCCTTATTCCTAAAATTTTGAGGCAATTACCCCCAAAATCAATCCCAGCATTCCCTTTTTGATATTGAACCTTGTGGTACAATGTCAGAGAGATCCATACACTAACAAACAAGTTATGCCTGGAAGTTACAAAAATGCTTATTTTTGGCCCCTAATTCCTTAACTGTTGGTACCATAACCCCCAAAATCAATCCCAACCTTCCTTTTGTGGTATTGAACCTTATGGTAAAATTTCATAGAGATCCATTCACTTAAACTAAAGTTAGAGTGCGAAAACCAATGTGTCTTCGGACGAAGACTCCGGAGCCAGACGACGACGCCAACGTCATACCAATATACGAATCGTATAAAAATGGATCAGGTTCGGTTGCACAGATTGTTACTTTAACAATGGAGAATAGTCAACAATAGAAAAACACTTAAAACAACCCAATAATGGAAGGTGCACAACCTCAAACTTTCCGTGAAGTTCCAAAGAACTGGTTTAAAAATAAATGTTACCATATTTTCAAAATTCTGCTGAAAAAATAACTAGGTTCTGAGATTTGGAGAAATGGGAAAAATTACATGAACAATTCCATATAAGACGGTGCACAACTGCAATATATGTGCAATTATTCTTGAAGTTTCAAGGATATGGATTGATAACTGTAGTAGAAGTTGATTACACAATACTGAACCATCTTTAAAAATTGTGCTGAAAAATGATTCAGTTCCCAAGTGTGGAAAATTGGAAAAAATTCCTATTTCAACATTAGTGCAATCCTTCAGTAAAACGTCTGGGATCTAGATTGAAAAGTGATGTTAATTACATCAAACTGGTATCCTTTTTTGTAAATTTGCTGAAAAAAGACTATGTTCTAGAAAAATAGCAAAACCTTCTTAAACATTTCCATAATGACATGTGCAGTTCAGGGATCTGAGTTGATTATGTAAATTACTTACAGTACTTACTTTCTGCCCTGGACGACATTGGCATGTAGGGCAGTAACAAAGTTCTTCCACTTCTGTCATTCGTTGGCAGTTTTCTGTAGAGTGCCCCATGTCGGTTGACTAGCCTCTGCTTTTACAGTTCGTCTCCATGTCATTCTAGATGTTCCACTCTTTCTTTTACCTTCTTGGATCCAGTGTAGTGCAGTCTTAGTGATCTCCTCTTTCTCTTTCTATAGGACATGACCAATCCACCTCCATCGTCCTCTAATTATAGTAGTGGCTATATCTTCTTGTTGGCATCTGGTGAGAAGATTCTGGATTGTGATTTTTTGTGGCCAAAAGATTCGTGTAATCCATCATCCTCCAACATTCTGATCCATACAGTACAGAAGTACAGGGAAGACACATCGTCTGTAAAGTGTTTGGTGCAGATGGGATATTGCCCAGATCTCCATGCTATTATGAGATTAAAAAGATGTTGTGGAATGCCATATGATTTTAATATCTTCTCGAGACTATACCTGTGGATGCTGTCAAATGCTTTCTCAGTCAACAAAATGTATATATATAGTTGCCATTGCCATTCTGTTCCGTTTTATGTTTCTAAATGTAAAGATCTGGCCAATGCAACCTCTCCTAGGGCAAAAACCTGCTTGTTCTTTATGCAGGTGGTCATCAATTGAGTCTGCAATTCTTCTGATAATTTTTACTATGATCTTACATAGGATTGAATTCAAAAAGTAGTGTAATTCTACTCCAGTTAATAATGCAAATTAGGTTTTCATTTTTGTCTGGCAACCCGATACCACCATATCATAAGCCCGTTTTGGACTTTGTCCCAATCAGTCAAAAAATGATAAATTGCAATTCCTACTCACATAATATCAAATTATGCAGCTTGCTGTTTATTTCATCAAAAAGTATTTACATATTAAAATGTACAATTTTAAATAATTCTGTTTAATCGTGTTGACTTGTTATGTTGGACAAACATGTTTTTATACACAAGGACACAATGTGGTTTGTTTCCAAGTTTACCCTTTTTGCAATCCCATTGTTTCTGATTTTATATTATTGATAATTTTTTATGCTTACAGTTTCCTTAACCCATTATAGTTAATAGACAAAAATATTCACATTGGATTACAATCATTATTAAAGAACTCTTATATTAGTCTGAAAAGTTCTTTAAACTCAATGGTTGGATGTCTTCATTTCCATCTTGCAATAATTCTCAATCCTTAATTTTTTTGCCCCATCATTCTCTATTCTGTAAAACCAATCAAAACCCTCATTGCCAATTTTGATTATATGAATTGTTTGTAGATCTTATCTTGCTGATCATTTTGCTAAATAGAATTATCTTGATCTATAAAAGATTTCAAGATAAAAGCCACCCAAAAAGCAATTAAATGCTCCCCTGGGGCGCAGCTTGATACGACCACAGAGGTCGAACCCTGAACAGTTGGTGCAAGTATGGACACAACATTCAAGCTTGATACAGCACTGAATTTGGATTGTAATTAAATATTTGACACAGCATAGGTTTCTGACACAGAATGAATGTGGTCTAAGAACTTAAAATTTTTTAATTTACCTATTCAAACCATATCATTATTATTTCCTTTTATATATAAATCAGAAATAACCAATTTAAAATGGAAAATATAAAAGAAAAAAAAAGGAAAAAAAAAATCCCCCCCCCCAATTTTTTTAACCCCCTATATGATTCATCACCCCCAAACTCAATCCCAGCCTTCCCTTTGTGGTATGGTACCTTGCAGTACAATTTCAGAGAGATCCATACACTTGAACACAAGTTATTGTCTGGAAACTAGAAAAATGCTTGTTTTTTTGCCCCTTTTTGGTCCCAAATTCCTAAACGTTTAGGGCAATTACTTCCAAACTCAAACCCAGCTTTCCCTTTGTGATATGGAACCTTGCAGTACAATTTCATAAAGATCCATACACTTACACACAAGTTATTGTCCTGAAACTAAAAAAATGCTTGTTTTTTTGCCCCTTTATGGCCCCTAATTCCTCAAATTTTGAAGGAATTGTCCCCAAAATCAATCCCAGCCTTCCCTTTGTGGTATGGTACCTTGCAGTACAATTTCAGAGAGATCCATACACTTGAACACAAGTTATTGTCTGGAAACTAGAAAAATGCTTATTTTTGGCCCCTTTTTCCTAAACGTTTAAGGCAATTACCCCCAAACTCAATTCCAGCTTTCCCTTTGTGATATGGAACCTTGTAGTACAATTTCATAAAGATCCATACACTTACACACAAGTTATTGTCATGAAACTAGAAAAATGCTTGTTTTTTGCCCCTTTATGGCCCCTAATTCCTACAATTTGGAGGCAATTACCCCCAAAATCAATCCCAGCATTCCCTTTGTGATATGGAACCTTGTGGTACAATGTCAGAGAGATTCATACACTAACACACAAGTTATGTCTGGAAGTTATAAAAATGCTTATTTTTGGCCGCTTTTTCCTTAACTGTTGGTACCATAACCCCCAAAATCAATCCCACCTTCCTTTTGTGATATCGAACCTTATGGTAAAATTTCATAGAGATCCATTCACTTAAACTTAAGTTAGAGTGTGAAAACCAATGTGTCTTCGGACGACGATGACGACGTCGACGCCAACGTCATACCAATATACGACCACAAAATTTTTTTTTGTGGTCGTATAAAAATGGGTAAAATTTGACATTTAAGGGTCTATTAACAATTTTTATCATGTTGACCTATTTGAAGATCTTGATTTGCTGATCAGTTTTGTTGTTACAGTTTCTCTCGAACTAATTAGTATATATTTCAAATAAAAAGCAAAAATGCTGGTAGTTATAAGGGTTCTTAATATGCAGAGAACATGGCATTCTTCAAACACTTAGCATTGGATTTAACGTCCCAATTTTGATTATGCATGGCATGTGTATCTATACATTCTGCACAACCAAATGGATACCCTTTTGAGCACAGGTTTTACTGTTGGAGTTTAGAAGACAAGGATTTACATATTTCTATACCCTATTAAAATATTGAATCATATCCAAACACAGGATTTTTCAGTCCTAGTTTGGTTGAAATTTGCACTGATTTCAGCGGAGAAGATATTGCAAATATTTACAACAATGCTGTTAAATGACAAGTGATGAAAAGGCAAGATGAAATAAAGATAAATTGTTGTTGGGTTTATCTCATTGACTATGCAAAGCATCTCTCTCCACTTATTCAACATCAGATGGTCTATTTTTGTAGTAAAAAATTATAACCACACATTTCCATAATCCCACAATGATCAGAATCCAAGATATAAATGTTGGTGTAAACTTTAACAAAAGGTCTTATGAGATGTATCAAGTGGTGGACCTAAAATGCATTGATGTAAAACTTCATTTTAACGTTTTGATCTATGTTTGTTATAGAATGGAACTTCATCTAAGGACATAGAAAAATAGCAAAATTCTTTGATCCTATCTCTTATGGCACCTGATGTATGACTCTGAAAGTGAAAATACTTGTTGATGTCAACACACCTTGTATTCTCAAACTAAAGTGATTAAGTGAACTACAAATTTCTAAGGGAGTAAAAATATCTCTCAAAATTAAAGGAATGTAAGTACAATAACAATCATGATTAAGATTTAATGATGTGAAGTTTTAAGTTTTATTGTAGCATCTGTCATATCCACACTCAGTTACTCCTTCATTCAATCAACAGATCAGATCTAAGTAACACATCAATGATCCATACAGAATTTACTGATCAGCTCAAACATACACTATGGATTCATACAGTACAACACAACAAAGATAGACACTATGATTCTCCTCTTCCTTTGCCTGGTCGTTGTTGGCCTCCCCCTCGTCCACCACCTCCTCCTCCTCCTCCTCTGCCTCCACCTCGGCTACCAAAAGCACCTGAAATAGGCAACCAGTATTGTAATGGTGCAATCAGATAAAATACTGATAGAATTATTCATAATAAAAAAAAATTGCACTGCAGACATTCCTGAATTAATGTGTAGATAGTCATTTGCTGAATTTTTTCCCCCATACTTGAATTCTTGGATGATAAGCTTTTTTTCTTTTGCATTGACATTATTCCTGTTAATAAAGAAGAGAATGCAAGAATTACGTTTTTTTTTTTACATATTCTCACTTCATTTTAATGATAAGATCTTCAAGTCAAATATTGTTGTATGACATCAGAGAGGTGAAAATACAGGATATGTTTCACATGTGAAATAGTGGTTTTTATTTGACTTGGAAATCACTGTATTTCATTGTAACATATGTTATAACATCCAATCAAGGGGGAATGGAACACCTAAGGGAGTTAACTCTTTAAAAATCAGCTGAATGTTTTAATCACATTTTATGAGTAAAGAGAAATCAAGTTTCTCAATGATCAAAATTTGAGTTTATCACATTGCTATTTCAATGTAATTTATCCTTTAAATTGTGTGGATCAAATTTCTTTCATATTTTTGTCAACAGGTCAAAGTAAATATTGTGTCAAAATTTTATGAAAATTAAACAAGCCAAATCTATTTTAGTCAAAGTGCTGGGTATCCCCTTGATTCCTAATGGCAGTTTCCAAACATCTGTATCAATAAAAACTTGTATAATGGGGTACTTTCATCGACATATACTTGTTGTCTTAATCGTAGAGCTTGTCTTGCTGATCATTTTTGCTTATTTAAGTTTCTATCTATCTATTATAATTTTTAAGATATAAGGCAAAAAACGCAAAAAACTGGTAAAAATTAGCATCAAAGAGCAATAACTCTAATAAGGAGTCGACTGACGCTTTCGACTCCTTATTAGAGTTATTGTGTAATATGTTAAACTTATTTGTAGAACTTGTCTTGCTGGTCATTTTTGCAATTTACAGTTTCTATCTATCATAATTTTCAAGATAATAGGCAAAAATGAAAAAAAAAAGGTAAAATTTGTCATTTAAGGGCAATAACTCCTATAAGAAGTTGTATAACAGTTTAGACGTATCGGACAATTGGTAGAGCTCAGCATTCTGAACATTTCAGCTCCGTCAGATTTTCTCTATTCATAACGGTTTTCAAAATAATAGACAAAACTTGAATTTTTACCCCTATGTTCTATTTTTAGCCATGGGGTCATCAGACACATTTTTTAAACTATATACCCCAATGATGATTGTGGCCATGTTTGGTTAAATTTGTCCTAGTAGTTTCAGAGAAGAAGATTTTTGTAAAAGTTAACGAAGACGACAACGGACGCCAAGTGATGAGAAAAGCTCACTTGGCCCTTCAGGCCAGGTCAGGTAAAAAAGAACAAAAAAGAACAAATAAACAAGAGGCTCTCAATAGCCTGAATCGCTCACCTGTAATTTTTTGCTTAAATCTTTCATCAATAATTATTTTTGCTTTTCAATATATATTAATGAGTGGCTTAAAAATGCCATTTAAATGTTCTTTGTATCTGTCATATTTTCTTCAAAAGCAAAAAAATGCATTTTACCCCTATGTTCCATTTTAGCCATAGTGGCTATGTTTCTTGACGTACAAGGAAATAAAATTACAAAATTTATACTAGATACTCTGAAACTCATTCAGCCCAAGTTTGGCTGAAATTGATTCAGCAATTTCAAAGGAGAAGATTTTTTAAAGTCAGCAAATTAGATGAACAAATTGTGAACAAGAGTGCACACGCTGAAATGTCTCGCCTTCTTTACTAATCATTGATATTATGTTGATAGTCCTAAATATAAAGCTTATTACAACTGTCACATAAACTTAACATTAACCAAGTAAAACTAAACATTGACCAATGAACCATGAAAATGAGGTCAAGGTCAGATGAACCATGCTGGGCAGGCATGTAAAGCTAACAATTCTTCCATACAACAAATATAGTTGACCTATTGCTTATAGTTTAAGAAAAACAGACCAAAACACAAAAACTTAACACTGAGCAATGAATCTTGAAAATGAGGTCAAGGTCAAATAAAACCTGCGTGACTGACAAATAGATCATAAAATATTTCCATGCACCAAATATAGTTGAACTATTGCATATAGTATTAGGAAAAAAGACCAAAACTAAAAAAACTTAACTTTGACCACTGAACCATGAAAATGAGGTCAAGGTCAGATGACACCTGCCCGCTAGACATGTACACCTTACAATCATTCCATACACCAATTATAGTAGACCTATGGCATACAGTATAAGAAAAACAGACCAAAACACAAAAACTTAACTATAACCACTGAACCATGAAAATGAGGTCAAGGTCAGATGACACCTGCCAGTTGGACATGTACACCTTACAGTCCTTCCATACACCGAATATACTAGACCTATTGCTTAAAGTATCTGAGATATGGACTTGACCACCAAAACTTAACCTTGTTCACTGATCCATGAAATGAGGTCGAGGTCAAGTGAAAACTGTCTGACGAGCATGAGAACCTTGCAAGGTACGCACATACCAAATATAGTTGAACTATTGCATATAGTATTAGAAAAAAAGACCAAAACTCAAAAACTTAACTTTGACCACTGAACCATGAAAATGAGGTCAAGGTCAGATGACACCTGCCCGCTAGACATGTACACCTTACAATCATTCCATACACCAAATATAGTAGACCTATGGCATACAGTATAAGAAAAACAGACTAAAACACAAAAACTTAACTATAACCACTGAACCATGAAAATGAGGTCAAGGTCAGATGACACCTGCCAGTTGGACATGTACACCTTACAGTCCTTCCATACACCGAATATACTAGACCTATTGCTTATAGTATCTGAGATATGGACTTGACCACCAAAACTTAACCTTGTTCACTGATCCATGAAATGAGGTCGAGGTCAAGTGAAAACTGTCTGACGGGCATGAGGACCTTGCAAGGTACGCACATACCAAATATAGTTATCCTATTACTTATAATAAGAGAGAATCTAACATTACAAAAAATCTTAACTTTTTTTTCAAGTAGTCACTGAACCATGAAAATGAGGTCAAGGACATTGGACATGTGACTGACGGAAACTTCGTAACATGAGGCATCCATATACAAAGTATGAAGCATCCAGACCTTCCACCTTCTAAAATATAAAGCTTTTAAGAAGTTAGCTAACGCCGCCGCCGCCATAGCCGCCGCCGCCGGATCACTATCCCTATGTCGAGCTTTCTGCGACAAAAGTCACAGGCTCGACAAAAATTGTCTTTAAAGGACAATAACTCCTTAAGGAGTCAATTGACAATTTTGGTCATAGCAAACTTATTTGTAGATCTTACTTTGCTGAACATTTTTGCTGTTTACAGTTTATCTTTATCTATAATAATATTCAAGATAATAACCATAAACTGTTATCACAGAGATATGTCTCGCCTTTTTGTAATTTTGATAATGCAAATGTTGAAATTAATATAGCAATACTTTAACATGTAAGTTATGCAAATATTCAAAGTCGATGAACCATGATTGAAGGTACATGGCTTAACAATCTCCAAATAACATTGACTTATTATAAGTCGTTCCCTTTTAACAAACCTATACACAAACATAAACTTGTTAACTATGTAAAAGTTTTAAAGTCGATGAACCATGCTGAGGGGTTGGGCTATATAATCTCCATTGAAACGAGACTTGCAAAAGCCAATAAATTTGCATACCAAATATCATTGACTAAACATTAGCGGTTCATCTTAAACTGATCTAATCACAAACTAATACATGTAAACTATGCAAACGTTTCAAAGTCAATAGACCATGACTGAGGGGGCAGGGCCAAATAATTTCCATGGAAATTAGATGTGCCAATGCTAATACAGCTGAATATCAAATATCATTGACCTACCACTAATGATTCCCCATAAACTGACCTAATCACAAACTAATACATGTAAACTAAGCAAAAGTTTCAAAGTCAATAGACCATGACTGAGGGGGCAGGGCCAAATAATTTCAATGGAAATGAGATGTGCCAATGCTAATACAGCTGCATATCAAATATCTTTGACCTACCACTAGTGGTTCACCATTAACTAGACCTAATCACAAACTAATACATTGTTGATGCCGCCGCCGCCAACGCCTGAAACAGCATACCTATGTCTTGCTTTTTGACTCTGTCAAGGCGAGACAAAAAACTGCAAAATTTCCTTAAAATCATCAATTCAGGGGTAATAACCTAAAAATCAGATACCCGATTTGGCTGATAATTTCAGGGCAGGTAGACCTTGACCTAATGAATACTTTAACTTCTTGTCTGATTTGCTCTAAATGCTTTAGTTTTTGGGATATAAGTCAAAAACTGTATTTTACCCTATGTTCTATTTTTAGCCAAGGCCATGTTTTCTTAGGAAACAGAAAATAAAACACAAACTTTATTCTAGATAACCTAAGAATCATTCAGCTTAAGTTTGGTTTAATTTGGTTCTGTAGTTTCAGAGGAGTAGATTTTTTAAAGTTAAAAAACATGATAAACAAATTGTGTAAAATTGTCCTTAAAGGGCAATAACTCCTTAAGGGGTCAAATGACAATTTTGGTCATAAGAAAACTTATTTGTAGATCTTACTTTGCTGAACATTTTTGCTGTTTACAGTTTATCTTTATCTATAATAATATTCAAGATAATAACCGAAAACTGAAAAATTTCCTTAAAATTACCAATTTAGTGGCAGCAACCCAACAATGGGTTGTTAGATTCATCTGAAAATTTCAGGACTGATAGAACTTGACCTAATGAACATTTGTACCCAGATTTGCTCTAAATGCTTTTGTTTTTGAGATATACTGTGGATTCATTTTTATTCGTGGTATACCAATTTTCTTGGGTTTAAGAATTCAACGAAGAATAATCCCAAGAAATGTGTATGGAGTCGGATGTTTATTTCCGGTTATGTTATGCAGTTCTAGTATAGTGTTGACTAGCGATAAACATTGTAACATAACACATTTTAATGAAAGAAGAAACAAGTATTTTGATTAAATCAATAATAAATATATCGAATATCAGTGATAATTTACTTTTTAAAATTGATTAAAACTGTTCATGGAAAATAACTGCAAGTTGTTAATTACCGTGTCATAGTTTGGTTTACTGGTGATTAAAAATCAATAGGATTAAGTACAGGGATATTGCCCGTAGGTAATATTGTTTATGACAGGAACATTTATTTTCACACCTTTTACTTATATGACTATTTATTATATCGTGTTTATGGAATGAGCTTTCAATCATAGAGTTTTGAATGCCTTATAAAATTCTGCCAGAATTTATAAATTGTAAAACAAACAAATAATTAGTTGTCTCTGTCCATTATTGTAATAGAAGTTTTCAATGAACACTTTAACCTAGAATGACCAAGCGAGGATTTTGACATTTCAAAACTTTTTCAATGAATTCCTTCTTTTTTGTTTATTTTATTATTGATCAAACCAAGGAGGTTATATGATCTCCTAAATCAAAAAGAAATCCACGAATTACGTATCTGATTTTTTTTTTTTAATCAGCGATCCACGAATTTACGTATACCACGAAACATCTTTTTTTCTCTATCCACGAAAATTGATACCCACAAAAATAAATGAATCCACAGTAAGCCAAAAACTGCATTTTACCCCTATGTTCTATTTTTAGCCATGGCGGCCATGTTTTTTGACTAAACAGAAAATAAAACACAAACTTTATTCTAGATACCCTAGGGATCATTCAGCTGAAGTTTGGTAGGAATTGGTTCAGTAGTTTCAGAGGAGAAGATGTTTGAAATAGATTACACCGGACGGACGACAACGGATGCCAAGTGATGGCAAAAGCTCACATTTCCTTTGGAAAGGTGAGCTAAAAACCAAACCATTGCATTAAGAAAAAGATTTTTGTGTTGGGTACTAATTTTTTCTTTTTTTGGTACGGTATTGAAGACTGTAAAGTCTGCTGACAATATAAGTTAATGATGGAAAATAGGGTATTGTGAACTTGACCTTTGACCAACTGATCCAAAATCTACTGGGTCTTGTTCATTCCAAAGGGTATTCTCAAGCTAAGGCATTAGTGGCAAGAAATAAATAATTTTTAGGGAGTAAAAAAAGGTTGTGAGGATTCAGAAAATGGTATTCACTGACAGATTATCTTCTCAATATCATATTTGCAGTTTCTTTCACTTGCTGTTTAAAGAATATTTCACTTGAAAAGTTGAAGATATTTCTATGATTAATTCAATTGTGTAAGGTTTAAAGAGTCTCCTTTCATTTGTAGAACTTGTTACATCGTGTATAACATTAAAGTACAACATTGTATCTTTTATACGATATGTAAATTCATATTTTATGCATTGTTATTTATAAAAGTACTTTGAAGAAATCTGGATATTATGACTTTATAACAGGTCAAATTGGACATGCAAAGCCCACCTGCAGACAGAAACCTATAATCATTGATAATAAACAACATCCCATTAAAACTATACAGGGTAACAAAAAATTATACCTTAAAAATTTGTATTTAATAATTTTAATAAACAGGTAAGTAAGTTATATCGTTTATCAGTTTTCTGAATCTTTTTTTTTTCTCACCCAGATACAATAGACATAAAACAGGCATAAAAATATGATTTCCTCAGATGTACAGATAAAACTCACTAAGATATCATTTCATAGTAGTATCATTTTCAACCAAGAAAATCTATCTCTTTGATCTAATATAAACACCTCTTATTTTTAATGCCAAAATATCAGCATAGTTATAATTGCACTGGAAATCACATAGGATTTACATTATAATGTTTTCTATTATGTAATGTTATTAAGATTTAAATGCTTCATTTTATTTTTCCCTCCTACTTCATGAGAAGATTAAAGAGATTAAATTTTGATGTGTAAAGATAAAATTTAATGTTATAATATTGTGAAAAGGATAATAGTAGATGGATGATTGATGCATATTTTTTACTTAATCGACTGGATTATGTTATATGCAGTAAATGAGGTTTTTATTTATGTATTTTCTGTACCTCCTCAGACAAAAGGCAATTGTTGATCCCAAGTTTACCCTTGTCCATATATCTTTACATCATGAAATTGATGTACCTTCATACTGGAAAAATCATTTGAAATTTGGAAATGTTGTTTAGAAATAAGTATACTAAATATGTTTCACATTTATATTAGTTATACTTCATATTTATTGTTCAAGAGTTATGTCCCTTGGAACTGACGAAAACATCTCTTTTCATTTACTTAGGTACTTGCCGTACTTGTATACTTCAATGAAAAAATTTAAACACAATACTAGACAAATTTGACCTATTTTACTTTTATCATAGAGTTATACCCCTTAAGGTGGTATGGGAGTATAAATGAAAATTTCAAAAAATGAAAGAATTTGTTCATACATGAAATGAAGTGTACATTGGGATATGTTAAAAATTATAATAAAAATGATAGGTAACTGAGCTAGTTTTCAAGCCACAGGTTCTGAAAAAATGACGCATTTTGTATGGGTTATACAGAGAAAAAGCATTATTATGTAATTCCTGGTAGAAGGTAAACTAAATGATAAAATTTTATAATAAAATACAAGAAGATACTTTCAGAATATCAAAAGAATAATTGGGGTCACCGTGTGTTTTTCCCTAAATAACACAAAGTAGACAAATTTCCTCTAGATTCTTTTACAAATTATACTATTTCTGAATAATCACCCCTTAGAAATGCTAAGAGAGAAAAACAAGAAATCAAGCAAAAATAATTTACCATTGTAAAAAAAATAGTTATTATAAGAAAAAGAAAAATTCTCAGTAGTCAATTGCAGTCCCCTATCAAATTTTGCTGATTTGATTGAAAATTTAGACCAATTTTGTGTTTGGCTTTTTTACAATCCAAGATGGCAAAAGACACCCATAATACTTTAAGAATATGAAATATAGTCAAATTTTAGGTTTCTGCTCCATGACTTTAATATGAATCAAATAAACCACTTAAAGTCACATGAAACAAGATTCTGATAATTATAATGTTTAGGAAATCATTGAACCAATACATACAAAACTTCTAAACTAAGCCCTCTGTGCACATTTTTTTTTACATTTAATACAAATCCATAAGGTAAAATCAAAAAAAAATATTGCAATTGGTAATAGAAAACTTTGGCTACAAATTAACTTTCAGGTTTTGGTGTCATAGTTTACCATTTGTTACCTAATAAACAATCAACACAGAATCATGGATGTTGAGGTGAGCATGTATCTAAAACTAGATGTGTCAGAATGACACGAATGGCCATACTTGCAAAAAAAGATTGGCAAAATCGTCAGCGGAGAGGAACGAACCTAAACTGTAATTTGGCAAAATCAGAAGATCGGAACGAAATGTAAACTCGATATGTAACTCATCATAGTAGACTCACATACTAAAAATCAGCTCAATATGTGAAGGTGTTTAAAAAAAGTCAGTATAATTGTTTGTTGCAGAATGACAGAATGACAGACGAGGGTAAAAATATGAGGCCCCGACCACTTTGTAATACAAGTGAGATGATGGAGCAATTTTTTTTTTAATATTTTCCACGCATTCCCATACAATTATTAAAGTTTGTCATATAAACAGTTGTTAAATGATTTGGTGTATTAAATTTGACTAATGTAAAATATTTTATTCTAGAGTTTTTTATGCACCTTAATGATTTGGAATATTGGCAAATGAGTAAGATTGATACAGCCCTAATTTTGCCCAAGATTTTGGGTCTGTACATGATCTTCGTTTTGCCACAAGGTAAAAGGTGTTCAGAAAATAGAAACAAAATTTGCATTTGACAAGTTATTATGAAAACAAACATTGAAGAAATTAGTATATTTTATCAAATTTCATGGTTTTCTGTGTTATGCTTTTGAGTATATTTTGGACTGGAGAAGAATGGATGCACCAACATAACAACTTAATATTTGGTTGTATTGTGTAAATAGCATTAAGAAAGCTCCTCTAAAATTATCTTATTTTGCTGTGGACAATTTTTTTTTGACACAGGAAAATATGTAGATGGAAAAATTCATAAAATTGGCAGTTTTCTTCATTTTCATGAATTATCAGTATACATAATGTAATAATCATGACACAACATTGCAAACTTGCCTTTTTATTCATTTTTTTTTCTATATATTTATTCTAATTTTTATTTATATTTTCAATTATATTTTTAGATTTTAAGCATTTCCCTATAATATGAGCAAATTTGAAATATAGGCTTAATAACCCAGCATAGTCCCCAATGTTACAAGACCCGAAGTCAAACAACAATCAGATAGTGTTTCCAGATTAAATCCTTCAGGCCAGACACCCCTCTTTTTACAAGAGAATATTTGAACAAAAAGGTTTGCTTTATAAAAGATTTAACTAGTGATGAAATTCACTTTAAATTACTGTGGGAAATTGATTAAATTCAAACTTTTCATCCTGAAAAGTATCATACCTCTTCCTCCTCTTCCCCTTTGTGGACCTCCTCTTCCACCTCTTCCTTCACCACGACCTTTAGATTTTTGTATGACCTCTTCCTTTACCATGTCAATGACCTCATCAGGTATTCTGAGGTATTTAATTGTACTTCCCCTTATATAACATTCTGGCATTCTCCAAAATCTATCACCATCCTAAAAATAAATAATTCTGATCTTATAAAGTTACTAATACATTATACTTGGCATGCAAACAAATCTATAGTCTTAAAATAGTCTTTGGGAAGCAACTTTACTTGTTTAAAGATTTTAAAGATTGACCAAGATCTGATCTAATATAGGATGGTAAAACAAAAGCCAGAATGATAGGAACAATGAGTAAACAAATATAAGAACAACACAAATACAGATCGATTGATTGATTGGTAATTAACACCCCTTTCAGCATTATTGTGCTATTTCTTGGCGGTCATTTTTATTGATGGAGGAAGCCAGGGTGCCTGAAGAGAACCACAGATCTTGGGAAAGAAAACAGACAATCGGTCCTAGTCTTCTAAGATTGGAGTCGAGCTCACCTGCCACATGCAGGATTTGAACTCATAACCCCAGTGTTGACAGGCTAGTGATACAGTAGTTTGACAACTTAGACCACTCGGCCACCAAGACCCCTTACAAATACAGAAAATATGCCTCTGTGAAAAGCAAATATTAATGTTCATTTCTAGCAACCATTCAAATGAGTTAAACTTTAATTGTGATTTCCAAAAATGTATGAGTATGAAAATTTCACAATAACTATCATACTAGAAACATGAAAGTTCAACCCTCTGATCATGTGATTATGTTAATAATGAAAAATTAGGATAAGACAAAAGGACAAAAAAGCAAAAAATGCCATTAGCATTATGAGTGTCAAAATTAAGATTTGGGCAAACTAACCAAATTCCAGCACCCATGACAGTGATGCAAACTTGAATGGAACAGATAGAAATGTGCCTTCAATGGCTCAACCTAGTTACATGTCATGTATGTGTATATTTAATAAACCTTTCAATCGATAATAAACACAAGAGTGCACATGCTGAAATGTCTCGCCTTCTCCACTAATCATTGATATTTATGTTGATAGTCCTAAATATAAAGCTTTACTACAACTATCACATAAACTTAACATGATCCAAGAAAATGAGGTCAAGGTCATATAAACCGAACAAGAAATACATGTACACCTTACAATCATTCAATACACTAAATATAGTTGACCTATTGCTTATAGTTTCTAAGAAACAGACTTAACCAAGAAAACTAAACATTGACCAATGAACCATGAAAATGTGTCAAGGTCAGATGAACCATCCAGGCAGACATGTACAGCTTACAATCCTTCCATACAACAAATATAGTTGACCTATTGCTTATAAGAAAAACAGACCAAAACACAAAAACTTAACACTGAGTAATGAACCGTGAAAATGAAGTCAAGGTCAAATAAAACCTAGGTCAAGTGAAAACTGTCTGACGGGCATGAGGACCTTCCAAGGTACGCACATACCAAATACAGTTATCCTATTACTCATAATAAGAGAGAAATTAACATTACAAAAAATCTTAACTTTTTTTTCAAGTAGTCACTGAACCATGAAAATGAGGTCAGGGACAATGGACATGTGACAGCCGGAAACTTCGTAACATAAGGCATCTATATACAAAGTATGAAGCATCCAGGTCTTCCACCTTCTAAAATATAAAGCTTTTAAGAAGTTAGCTAACGCCGCCACCGCTGCCGCCGGATCACTATCCCTATGTCGAGCTTTCTGCAACAAAAGTCGCAGGCTCAACAAAAATGACATGTATAGATTCATTAATATAGTCACTGAACATGGCTAATTCAAAATGAAGCACTTAAAAAAGAATTTGGAAGTCAAGTTTCAATCAGATCTATATGTATTTTGTATATGAGATGACATAGGTTTAAAAGTTCCTCATCGGGTTTTCATTTCAAACAAGAAAATCAGGGATAAAAACATGTTAAAAATACAACATTTCCTCTATTTCATTACCTATCCATTAAAAAAAGTGTAAATTTAGGGCAAACAAACATATTTTGTTATTATCCAATTCCACCATAAAGATATTACCTGAATATGCATGAAAGATTTGTCAGTGAATGTTAAACAACCGACAATCATTTATGAAAGACAATTAAACAAGAATTATGAGGTGTAAGTTTTAAAAAGACTTTTTGACTAGGGAACAGACTTTCACATTAATGTCAATTGTTATAGACTACATCAACATCCAAAAACATTTAGATTCTGTCATATATGTTGTCAGTAGGAGCTCTATAATCGGGTTGGCACTAGTTCATTTAAGGTTACATCTATATTGTATTTTTTGGTTGCTGCCTCACTGACAATTATCCCACACCCTCTTTCATTTTTACCTTAAAATGATTTAAAAAAATAAATCTTATTAGTGAAACTGTAACATGCACTCTTTAAATGGTAGCCAAGACTTTTAAATTTGTGAAATCCATTTCATGCAGCATTGCCCTTAGTCTTTTGGGGCTTTGATCAAGGAGTCAAGTAATATCAATTTGGGGGGGGGGGGCCTAGGTGGCAGAGTGGTCTGAGTAGTTCATCTACAGTGATCAAAAGCCTGTCAACATCAAGGGAGAGAGTTCAAACCCCATTCCTTGCAAGGTGGGATCGACTCCAATCTTTACTAGGATTGCTAGTTTTTCTGCCTTAGGTCAATAAAAGTTAGCTGCTATGAAATACCAGTACAGAGAGTGCTGAAAATGGCATTTAAAATCAACCATCAATCAATCATTTTCTTTTGTGTGTATATTTTTATCTTAATTACCACCTTGCATATATTAACTTACCCTGGAGGTACAAATAACTTCTCTGAGATTGATGTTCATCCAGTTATCACAGCTGACTAAATGTCCATTGTATGTTTCTCCATTCTTTAACTCCACCAACTATCAAAAATACAAGAAGCTGTTTTAACACAAAGTCATTTACAGAGATCTCAGGAGTCCATAGACATACAGTGTAGGAAATTTTTATAGAGAAAGGAGAATGTACTCTTATCACCCTTTAAAGTAAGAATATTGCAATGTAATCCCTTGCTGGAAGTTTGGTCCTCTTATATTGCATGCAACAGAAAAATGGTAAAAGAATTACTAGTACTTCATAGAAGGTATTGAGTTAATGCCAAAAATTTCTTAAAATATTTTTCCAAAAATCTTTTGTCCTAAACACCTTTTCAACACAAATATGTGATATATTTACAAAATATTAGATTTATAGATTTTCTTCTAAAATTAGCACATGTCTTTATTTTATGGTAAACAAAGGGGGATTCAAATATGATTAAATACTTTTTAATCATTCTTTTACACAAGTTTATTTATTTGTTGAGATTTCTTGACAATTTAAAACACTATTAGTCACATATGTGTTATGTATCTTAACTATCAATTTCTTCAATAATATAAGCCAATTTTTATCCTGCTTTTCATAATTATATAAAATAAGCTCCTGTCTACTGCTCTTATTCAGTTTCTCTCTATTGAAGTCATCTGCTCTATTAGTAACAGCTGTTGGGTTTCTAGCAGGACAAGTCCATTTATTATTTTAAAGGTGACCATTGTTGAACCAAACAGAGCAGCTTGTACGAATGAAACTGAAGTATTCTAATATATAGCCATTTAGGCTTGTTTAAAATGCCACTTTCTGTCCCTATTTTCCATTCTACCAAAATCATTTGTCCTGAACAGTAAAAGTGAAAAAAGTCAATATCAAACTTAACCTCCACATCGTCATCAGTGACAACATATCAAAATTGTTTGAAAGGTTCACACAGAAATGATATAATGTGCCATTTTCACATCTATCAAGGACCATGACTACTGAACTGTAAAAGTGAAAATAGTCAATATCTGGCTTGACCTCCATTTTGTCATCAGTAACAATGTAATGAAATTTGAAAAGCATTAGTTGAAAGGTTCATAAGATATTGCCAGAAACGACATAAAGTGCCATTTTCCAGTCTATCAAGGACCATAACTCCTGAACAGTAAAAGTGAAAATCGTCAATATCAAATTTTGAAAAGCATTGGTTGAACAGTTCATAAGTTATTGCACAGAAACTGTTGGTCCACTGGTTTCAGAGATTTGTGTAAACATTTATGAAGGCTACAACTCAGTCACAGGGAAGACTTAAAATTGAACAAATGCTCACACCTCAATTAAAAAAATTGCTCTTATGGCCCCTTATCACTGGGTTTAGCATACCGGTACTTTGTTCTGGGTGTCAAATTTTTTTTTAATTACTAAAACTTTGAATATTTTGTTAGTAAATTTAACATGTTATTTATATTATGCATCTTGTCTGCAACTATGAATATGAAATAAGTGCATTACATAATACTGATAATGTGGCTTTTTGCCTTAAAAGAACTACCGGTATGTGAAAAACTTGCACTTTAAATACAATGTACACCTCAAGGCAAAACTAAATGCAATCAAAATGATGATCCAAATGTTTCAGACCAATAAAATATTTTAATAATGTAGAAGTTAAATATTATTAAAATACCATTAATGATGTCTATCTCTGGGTCAAAATATGAACCAAACCATAGTTCCTCAAGCAAGAAATATGGATGTTAATGTTTATTGCTGCTTGTCTTTGTATAGTTTTTTGTCAGAGATGTCAATTTGTGGTTGTTGCTGTGGTCTGTTGAAATGTCTAGTATATTAAGTAGTACTTTCATTCCTATTGAGGTATAATTACTAAATACAATGGAATTATTTTGATCATATATGAGTACTGTAGTGAAATGTCCACAGTATAACATTACTAGTCAGCTTTATACAAAATGTTCATTCCTCAAACATAAATAAAGGACTGTGGTTGTACAATATCATTATCAAATCTTCAAAATGGATCTTTACATGCTAAACTAACAAAATTTGTTTGATTGTGACATTTAAGTCATAGTAAACAAAATATAATGTCAACATATCACTGATATATATTATCATAGGTCCCATAAAATCGCATCTTAACATTAATACAAAAATTCATCAAATTCATCCTATTGGCAGCATAAAATGTAGGTCAAGGTGACTAAAATATCATTGTTAAATGAATTTATAAATTACAGTTATTAAGCAATGGACCTCAACACACATCTAAATATTCTTGCCAAATATGAACACACTAAAGAACAGAAAAAGGGTTTATCTAAATGACACATAGCTTAAATTTTGTTTACAATCAACTAAAATTACTGTAAATCCCTGTAAAAATGGATATGTCGCTCCTTTGGAATGCTCATTTTTTCAGACCTACTTTCTGAGATGATGATAATAACAAAGCAGGAAGCTCTGTACAGACTTACCATATAATTCAAGTGTAAAAGAACAGGGAAAGATATGCCAGGTTGACCACCAAATTCTTTCTCTGTTGTATGAATTTAAACTATTTAAAAAGGTAAATAATTCGGAGGGATGCATGGAAATGAGTTCCCATTGATACATGTATACGTAACTGAATTTATAATCACGTTTGATGTCTGTGTTACAGTTACCATGGTTACTTGCAAGACAGCTTAGCTCCCAAAATACTGGATTACAGATGATCCTGACCAGTAAAAAAATGTACAAAGAAGAACAGTGACAGAATTTTTAAATGATAGTTTCAGTTATTTTTTTAGAAGAGAAAATTGTGAGACTTACCATAGGATGGTTTACAGCAGTCCGCAACAGGGACAAAGGCAGCTGAAAAAAATAAAACAGAACTCTGCTAACACATAATGATAACTTTATTCATCCTACATGTAAAAATCTTTCTTCATAAATATAATTGTTTACATTTGTATCCAGGTACATTTAACACAGGGAATGGACCACTGAAAAAAGTAGATCTGTAGTTCCATCAACAAATCATGTTTAACTACAAATATATTCCCTTTGTAGTCAAAATTGTGAGAAAGGACTTTGGCAGTCACTGTCATACAAAGATACTTTTTGAATGTCTAAACCTCAGAATAAATTACAAATGTATACAACTCTATCTTTTAAAGGTTAAAATATTCTGTTTTGGCTTTTTGTCTGTTAGACAAAGTGTATTTCATAAGGTATTTTTCTAATGTCAAAATTAAATAATGGAGGTGCACTAAGGGCTCTTCTTGGCCTAAATCTTGATTAATTACAAAATGAGGTGATTTAAACATATATGTTTATGACTATATGCAAAGTTCTTACCCTAAAGAATATAAAAACATTATGAAAATTTACCAAGATTTTGAAGTCGAGAGAGGATAAAATTGAGAATGGAAATGGGGAATGTGTCAAAGAGACAACAACCCGACCATAGAACAGAAAACAGCAGAAGGTCACCAACAGGTCTTCAATGCAGCGAGAAATTCCCGCACCCGGAGGCGTCCTTCAGCTGGCCCCTAAACAAATATATATACTACTTCAGTGATAATGAACGCCATACTAAACTCCAAATTGTACACAAGAAACTAAAATTAAAAATAATACAAGACTAACAAAGGCTAGAGGATCCTGACTTGGGACAGGCGCAAAAATGCGGCAGGGTTAAACATGTTTATGAGATCTCAACCCTCCCCCTATACCTCTAGCCAATGTAGAAAAGTAAACGCATAACAATACGTACATTAAAATTCAGTTCAAGAGAAGTCCGAGTCTGATGTCAGAAGATGTAACCAAAGAAAATAAACAAAATGACAATAATACATAACATGCATAAATAACAACAGACTACTAGCAGTTAACTGACATGCCAGCTCCAGACTTCAATTAAACTGATTGAAAGATTATGTCTTCATCATATGAATATCAGGCACAATCCTTCCCGTTAGGGGTTTAGTATCATACCATCATAACATATATGAGAAGAACATAACCAGTGTCATGCCAACAACTGGTTTTTAAATAAATGTGTTTAGTGCCGATGCAAAGACCCTATAAGTGAATCAATATTAACGCCAAAATATGCAATCTTTAATGACCTGACAACAGTATCGTAACTATATCCCTTCTTAATAAGTCTATTTAAAGGTTTTGTTAGCTTCAGAGGTGAATACTGACATTTTTGTGCTTTATAAAGAATATTTCCATAAAAAATTGGATGTGAAATACCTGAACGTATAAGAAGTCTGCATGTTGAGCTATATTTACGAATGATGTCCTTATACCGATGATAAAATTTAGTAAATGTTTTGACTAGTTTGTGATATCGAAAACCCTGGTGTAATAATTTTTCAGTAATACATAAATTTCTCTCGTTAAAATCTAAAACATTGCTACATACACGAGCGAATCGTACAAGTTGAGATATATAAACACCGTAAGATGGTGACAAGGGAACGTCACCATCTAAAAATGGATGATTAACGATAGGAAATGAAAAATCATCTCTTTTATCATATATTTTAGTATTAAGCTTTCCATTAATGATATAGATATCAAGATCGAGGAAAGGGCAGTGGTCATTGTTAGTATTAGCTTTATTTAAAGTAAGTTCAACAGGATAAATTTCTTTAGTATACATACTGAAGTCGTCATTATTGAGAGCCAAAATATCATCCAAATATCTAAAAGTATTATTAAATTTGTGTATCAGATGTTGTTTCGATGGGTCTTTGCTGATTTTTGTCATAAATTGTAACTCATAGCAATACAAAAAAAGGTCCGCAATAAGTGGTGCACAGTTAGTCCCCATTGGAATTCCGATAACCTGACGATATACGGAATCTCCACAGCGAACAAAAATGTTATCTAGTAAAAATTCAAGGGCATATATAGTATCAAAGCATGTCCAATTGACATAGTTTTTTTGTTTATTGCTACTAAAAAATGACCTAAAAGAGTTTGAACATATATATTCACATTCTGACTTTTTAGATGCCCATTTAATTAGGTGTGTGAATTTTTTCTTAATGAGAATGTGAGGCAATGTGGTATATAGGGTAGAAAAATCAAAACTTTGAACAGATTCAAAATCACCAATATATGCATGTAATTTATCAAGTACTTCCAACGAGTTCTTGACACTCCAAAAGTAATTAATTCCACTATTTTCGAAGGCCTTATTTGAACAATTTATTATCAGGTTTTTGATTGTACCAAGTGTACTGGTAAGAAGAATAGACAATTTAGTAGTGGAACAATGGCTTGAAGACGAAATAAATCTATATTTATAAAGTGTTTTGTGTAGCTTCGGAAGCCAATACATAGTTGGGACTTTCATTGTATTTGGTTCTGCTTGTAAAGCAGTAGCTAAAAGTTTTTGTTTGTTACAGATGTCGTTTTCTGAAAATGGAGTCAGTTGGAATGTTGGTGAATTGGTGATTTCTTTTTTCAGAACCTCAATGTAAAATTTACGTCAAACAATAATAATATTATTAGCAGCTTTATCGGCCGGGACATAAACAAATTCCTTGGCTAGTTCTTTTAGTTTATGTTTGATACGAGAAATAGGTTTATTGTGGTTATTGTTAAGAGTAAAATGTTCTTTAAAATGTTGAATACGTATATCAACTATGTTCATTACTGAATTAAAAAAAGAGTCCAAAGATTTTTTGTCAGCTTTTTCCCGTTTTATCCATTTCAAACAGTAAGTATGGAGTGAGTCGTGGATGATATTACGACACTCATTCCAATTAATAATTGACGGGGGACGATATTTAGGTCCTTTACTGAGGAATGGTTTTAACTCTCGGTCTTGAACGATGTTAAGATCTCCTGTTATAACATGGGAAATGGGTCCATAAATGTAATCAGAATTACTGCAATTACATGAAGTAGGTGTATTTTCACTGATATTAACATCTTTACACAATTGGCTATAATTAAACACAAATTTCCAGGTAGATTTCTTGTAAATATAACAAATAAGAGGGAGCTCAGTATTATCAAAATATCCCGGAATTTGTTCTTTAACAGAATGGTCGTTAAAAATACCGGCAATATTTACAAAATCAAAACCTTTATTGACATACTTTATTTTAATAAACTGTTTTTTATGATCTTCAGGGCGATCAATTTTGGGAAACAGTTTAGAATAACAATATGCCATTATAATTTGAACGATTTCATACTTAGGACTGCTATATGAAATTGTGTTTATTTGATTTTTCAACACATATTTTGAAGTAAGAAATATGGAGCACATGCAAGTACCAAATCAATATTTACATGAGAGGTTTCGTTCATATAGACAAACAACATGGTAAATTATTTAGTTGGCAAATTGTACTTGCTGTAACTTGCTTAATATTTTTGATCAATAAACTGCATGTAGTTGAGAACTAACGAAAATCTAAGCATTTTCCACAAAAACGATGGGCCCTGTACATGTTTTGCCTAAAAACTGAAGTCTTACAAAATTAATCTATGAAGTGATTCTAGTTTTCCATGTATTGTTGTAGTATAAATAAGGTCATTGAGAATTGCTTCACATTTTGTAATTCAGTGGCATTTTATAGCTACCATACATTGTATTTTGCTCATTGTTGAAGGCAGTGCAGTTAAATGTACCTGCAATTTTTTACAAAACATTATAACACTAAACAGGTTGGGGGCGATCCTCTTATTAAAAGGGTATCATATCCCAAAACAAGTATCAATTTAAATTAATATAAAATTGAACATTGGATTTCAAGATATTTGCTGTAATAATGGTGCAAATATTCATGTAATAGGCAACATTTTGTCACAAGACCCCATGATTGAATTATCATCTGCATAAAAGTTAACAGTCTTCACAAATTATAATTTTGTTGGACATTTAGTTTTATTCACTTCTAATTTGAACTGAGATCTTAAAAGGAAAAATGTTGCCATTTACATGGTGTGTGCCATGATGGCCATTATAATGAATACAAAGTCAATGTGTACCACTGTACCTGATTTAGGGTATAGTACCCATATAATAGGATAATACCTGTTTATGAGGATCTTCCTCAAACTGTCATTTAGGATATGGTTTCCCATAAATTTGTACATGTGATTACTGAAAAGTGTGAGGGTAAGTAAAATAAACAAGCAGCTAATCCACTTTAAAAACCAATAACCTCAAGGAGCTCATCAGGTACATGTACATGTATCACCTGTCACATTTTAGATTTTATCAGTTTAAAGACAACTTTTCAATCTGACATGGCTTCCAAAATGGTCTGATTTTCCAGACATGTCCTGCAAAATTCATCCCGTGTCTGGCTTGTTCAAGACTGATGTGGACAACTAATGTGGGTTTGATACATGTCAACTCGTACCTTTGCCAACTTGTACTCAACCAACTCGTACCCAATTTTTACTAACTCATATTTTTACTAACTTGTACTCAATTTTCAGTGCAATATAGTAGTTATTTCTATCATATAAAATTAAAGGAAATAAACAGAAATATAGATATTTTGATTTCAAACTATAATCATAAAACATACTAATTAGTGGTCATTAAACAGGTCAGGATCACTACATTTTCTGACGTCAGTATATATTTGCATAGTAATTTCCAAGGTAAACATGGCCATGAAAAAATAACCAATTGATTCAATGAACTACAAAGCATTGTGGGCTACTAGGAGTTTACTACCACTCAAAAACACATGGAATTAGTGGAAAAACTGTCTACCTATATAGTGTCTGGGACTCACATAATAAATATTTTTGTACCACCAATGTATTAAATGTAAAATGTAAAACATAGTCTTCAATTTGCATGCTCAGATTGAAAAAAATTTGTT